GATGCGGCGGGTGACGCGGCAACTGATTAATTCTAGGGACCTTCTAGCAGTTTGAAACGACCCCAAAACATCATTTTACATGGTTGAAGGTCAACAAGGGCTGAAGAAATCAACAACCGTGCTAAATCACTGGAGATTTCAGCCCAAAGAACTATATCCTATCCCTGAACATGCTCAATTTGTGTGTTAGACCTTACCCGACACCTCCTGGAGGTGGTTTGAATGAACTAATGTAGTCTAGAAAGATCGGCACAAGTTCCAAAAATGCCGCGTCAATGCTGCGCCGGTCCGCGTCAATGCCGCGTCAGTGCGCGCCTGCCGCGTCATTTTCTCCGGACCGTATCATCGGCCCTCGACATGTGCCCATCTGCTTGCGTTGCTGCGCATTTTTTTGCTTGGACTTATATTGCGCCTGGCCTCCGGTGGATTTCCTGTCTCTCCTTTCTTCTATGTCTTGTTCTACGCCTTCCTTTACTCGCCGACGATCTGAGTCTGTCTGCACCTCATAAGATGCGCTCGCAGTGTGTTCGTTCGGGCAAGCCCCAGCTGGACGCGGGACTGGTTGCCAGGGCTCCTCGCACGCGTCTGTGCTGTGGCGGTCCGTGGTGAGAATCGCGCTGTGCTGATCCAGAAGGACATCCGCGTACCTCGTTCAGCATCTCAGGAACCTTCCACGCACGCTCCCCTTCCGCTCTCTCTACCGCCTCCTCCCGCAGACGCGTCTTGACTCGTGAACCATACGTTCTTTGAGAGCAATGCGCGATGTGCGGGCATTCTGTGTTCTTTGCGCCCGTCACGTTCTGCGTTCTGTGCGCGCGCGGTGCTGTGGTCTTTGGGCGCGCAGTGCCTTTTACGACGAGGACGCGTGGTTGTGCGTTCTTTGCATGCGTAATGCTGCGTTCTTCCCGTGTGCGCACACGAGACGGCATTTTCCTCTCCATGCGCTGGTGGGTTGGGAGGACGGGAGGACGAGAAGCCGCAGACGGTAACACCTATGCGGAGCGGGTACTAAGTATGGCACCCGTGCGTCGCAAATCGGGTACGTGGCTCGGATAGTGCAAAGGGACATATGAGGAGGACGCGTAGGACTTTCCGCCTAGGGTTAAACGCCGGGCGGGGACTTGAGGGTTGTATTCTTCAGCAGATCATTAAATTTGCCTGCAATTGAGAGCTAGCCAATAGATTGCATCCTCGTGAATCCACCACGAGACAAACACGCCTCTCGCTTTGCTCGGCAGTTCAATCGGTATCTCGCGTCAGCGTGTAAACTTCGGGGGCTAATTGATCCGGACTCTGGATGCGAGCGCTCCTCCCCTGAGTCCAAAAGGACACTTCAGAACTTACAATATAAGCATTAGCATTCCACTCGAACTTGGGTGAGATCTCGTTCAATAAAAAATCTGTGGAACGAGCCATGGCCCGGGCTCGAGTCGAACGAGCGGTGCCTGCAAACCACCATTTCGGTTTTTGCCCATTGAGTGCAGGTGCGGACCATCCGCTATCGGGCCTTGATTTCGTTGGCGCGAACCTCAATGCACAGACATCAAGTCAGCGATTAATTCGGAGCGCAGTGATCAATGAGATTGGCCCGCAGAGGGTCCTAGGCTGAGCTTCAGGTTACCTCCAAAGATGGATTTAAATGACGGATGTCATTTCAGGTCGCGGTGAAGGAAGATACCAGAGATCTTTGTTAGATGCTAGAGGACATCTCCGTGTCGACGTCAGATTAATTTCACCCACCCTGATTCTACACGACGAGCACGGAGAGCCAACGAACACGGAACGGAATTGTCAATTGCAAGATATGCCATGGGGTTGAATTTTAACCGGCCAACTACAGTACTCGGCCCCAGATGGAGACCCGGGTTTTTTTTCTAGGGACAGACAAAGTACACCCCAGCGTCACAGTCCGCAAATTCGATAAAGCGGTGGTAAAATGCGAGGGCGCAATCAGTACTCAGGTCCCGGGTGAAAGCGGTAGTTGGCAGTTGTGCTTAAAGAAATCTTGAATCCTAATCCTCAACGATTGCTTGCGTGCGGCGATGCGTGCCGAATCGGAAAAAGCCAGTTGATGTTTTGTTTTGTGGATTTCCGGGAAATGCAGGGGAATCCTTCGTCGTGGGACGCTGAAGACGAATCGCAAGAACTCACCAACGCGGGGAAACACGCTGGAGCAGCCCCATTTGACAACGAAAAATACAAGAATACTGTCGAGAACCAAGCACACAATGTATCAGCTCTTCGGGGTTGAAGGGCGAACGAACGAGACGTACCTATGTAGGTACAAGTTAATATTTATCTGCGGACGTTGTGCTGCGACGAATAACCGACGTTGTGCTGCGACAAATAAATCGTACAACTCCGTCGGAAAATGGCGCAGCCCGTCCAATCCACGCCTGCGTGCACTGTCCTCGTTCAGGAAGGGACGTACGATACAGAGCTGGACGCAAACAAGTACCGCAGTACCCAGCGTGTCGATACTTTGGAATGGAAGATTAATCCCGTCCGCCGCTCTTCATCAGGGCTAGGCGTAGCTCTCCGCCTGTACCCTGCGTCTGGCGCTGCCCACCCTCGCGTCCCCTACCCTCGACACCCGCGCTCGATACCCCCTCCAGTTGACCGGGAGCGCCACGCATCGAGTATGGGAATGGTGCGCGTCGTAGTCCCCAATCTCACCATCGTCATGGCGGCCCCCTCCATCCCGCCCGTTCCTGCGTTCCATCTTCCATCACCCTGCCCTCCAGCGCGCGCGCGTCCTAGTCGTGGCCGTCGTACGTCGTGCGTCGAAAGATGAATGACACCCTGTGAAGCGCGGGGCCATCGTCGTCGTCGTCGAAGGACAGAGATTGTGCGTTCCGCGTCCCTGATCGTGTGTCGTGCGCCATGGAGGCAAAAGAGGCGCGTGCGTCGTAGGCAGCCCGCCCACCCGAATCCGTGCGTGCTCGTCGTCGTGGCAAGAGTGGGGCGCGGAGATTAGCTGATCGTGGTCGGCGTGGTCATCGTGGCAAGGGCGGAGTGGGGAGATGATGCTGGCCGAGGCTGGAGGGAGTCGTGGTCTTGGTCGTGCCCGTCGTAATTGCAGGAGGCAGGAGAAAAGAGCGGAGGAGCAGGCATCACGCCCGCCGGCGTCCGAGTGGCAAGTCCGAGCCGTCTAAGTATAAGCAAAGTATAAGCAAGGGTAATCTTACGCGCCTTCGTCCTGTCGGAAAGTGCGAGCGCGTATGCGTCTTCGGCCTGGTGGGACAGAGATTACAAGCGCGGGGATTGTGTGCATTCGTGGTTCGGCGGCTGCAGGGGACTGGAGACTTGAAAGAGAGAGCGAGAGATGAACGATAGGGAAAGGTTACGGTTAGCACACGTGTACCGGCTCTCGGTCCGCACTTCCCCCTCTTGCGTCCATCATGCAATGTTCACCGCCGGTAGTGTTGCCGTCGAGTCGAGTCCAACTCGAGTCGTGACCGAATCGACCGATCGAGTCACCCACTCGACTCGACTCGACCCCTCGAGTTGTGGTTTTTCGGCCACATTTAGAAAGAAACGCTGACCAATCTCCCAAATTGAGCAAACTCGATAGAACTCGGCGATCGAGTTGTCATCGAGTTGTCAACTCGACTCGACTCGGCGGCAACACTATTCACCGGTGCAAGGCGGGCTCCTCTCTATTCCTGCAGCATGCTCTCCCATTCTGCGGCCACACTCGTCATCCAGTCAGGTACTTATTTCGCTTCCAGTACTAGTGTATCCTACAGCTATTTGCGGAACATAGGGCGCGGGCGATTTTTTTTTTTCCTTTTTAGTCACTTTTTGATCCCTTTACTTACTTTCCCCGTAGCGGCCTCAATTCTCATTCGTTTTCCTTGGGACCGGGTGCGTTGGATTCACGTGGAAATTATGTAGTGCGTGGCGTCCTCAAATCAAATTTCCTACTGTCAGGGGGCTCGGGTGAACAAAGAGCCATCATTTTGCTTGCTTTGTCTCTGTGATCAGCAAGAGTCATTATAGAGCTCCAAATTTTTAATACAATCTTCTCCTGCATGTATTTAAGTGTGCTAGATAGTTTTCGACCCAAGGCTATGCAAGGGTTAAGGATGACAATACTATTCGGTAGAATTCACAGTCACTGTTACTTCTTGATGTCAATTGGAGGCTTTTCGAGGTCGGCTCACCGCAGCAGATAGCCAGCGCACTTCAATACATGCAGGAGATGATTTTATTGAAAATTTGGAGCTCTATAATGACTCTTGCTGATCACAGAGACAAAGCAAGCAAAATGATGGCTCTTTGTTCACCTGAGCCCCCTGACAGTAGGAAATTTGATTTGAGGACTCTACGCACTACATAATTTCCACGCGAATCCAACGCATCCGGTTCCAAGGAAAACGAATGAGAATTGAGGCCGCTAAGAGGAAAGTAAGTAAAAGGATCAAAAAGTGACTGATGCACGGCTTGCAGTGTAGTTTCAGTGGCATTTCAGTATAGAAGTGAGTCAAGAACTATCCAGCGCACTTAATTACGTGCAGGAGAGGATTGTATTAAAAATTTGGAGCTCTGTGGCGGCTCTTGCTGGTCACAGAGACAAAACAAGTGAAATGATGCCTGTTTGCTAACCCGAGCCCCCCGAGAGCAGGAAATGTAATTAGAGGACGCTACGCACTGCGTAATCTCTCTGCGAATTGAACGGGCATATTCCCGAGGAAAACGGATAAGAATTGAGGCCGCTACAAGGAAAGCAAGTAAAAGGATCAAAAAGTGACTAAAAAGGAAAAAAAAATCGCCCGCGCCTTATGTTCCGCAAATAGCTGTAACTTAATCGAGTTCACAGGGATGGAAGCGAGGCACGGCAGCGGTTGGACCGCACCTGCATAATATAGATTGTCTTGTTTGATATCAATGCAGGCTCCGCTCGTTCGATTCGAGCCCAGGCCATGGGTACGATGCAGGTCTTTTTTTTTCCCATAGTGACTTCCCTCACGCATTGAAGCCTTATAGGTGGAAACGAAAGCCTGGTAGCGGATGGTTTCCGCACCTGCCCTCGATTCCTTGCATTTTGACCCATTTGTCCGCAGGCCATCGCTCGTTCGATTCGAGCCCAGGCTATCACTCTTTTTTATAGCACAAGTGAGGTCAATCTCAATGCTGATCTATTTCAGCTCACAACTATGAACTCACGGCCCAGCAGCGGATGGCTCCGCACCTACACTCGATATGTGGGCATGAAAGTTTCCGCAGGATCGCTCGCTCGACTCGGGCCCGGGCCACGAATTATTAGCGCTGTTTTTTTTCCTCGACGCCATTCACGAGTGAGTTGTTTCAATTCGAATGATCATATACTTATGTTCCAAGGTACCAGCAAGAAGGCCCAGTAGCGGATGGTCCGCACCTCTCTGATCTCTCCAGGAGCGCGCTCGTTCAACTCGAACCCGGGCCATCATCTTGTTCCTGTAAACGTAATTATTATTATTTTGCCAGCACTCGCGGGTGAGTTATTTCAATTCGAATTTTCATATACTTGTCCTCCCAGGCCCAAGACAGAATGTCCGGTAGCGGATGGTCCGCACCTTTACTTTGTGTCCTTGCCACAGCCTTTCTGGAAGACCTCGTTCGACTCGAGCCCGGGCCATATCCTTTTTTTTTTCCTTCAATTTTTGCGTGTTCATGTCGACCTTCCCAGTGACCACCCATATACATAGGAATGGAATGCTGGAAGCCACGGTTTGTAGCTGGTGCAATATATGTCCAGTCAAGTGCCTTTCCACATTCTGTAAAAATCCCCGCTGATGAAGTTTACATGTTTTGAATCATGGCCTGGTAGCGGATCCTATACATTTGCAGACACCGCTCGTTCAATTCGAGCCCGGTCCATGTGTAAGTTGTGGGTGTCTTTTTTAATCACTCATTGCCTACTTCGCTAACGTATTTAAGTTTTGGGCGGAGGAAATGAAGGCCTGGTCGTGCGTGGTTCCGCACCTGTGTTGGATTCGACGGACCAAAATGTGAACTCCCCTCGTCCGCGGGACGTCGCTCACTCGAATTCGATACCAAGTCTGACGGCCATCGCCGCTTATCTCTCTGTAAGCGAACAAGATTTAATGGTGAGTGAATTTTTTCGAGCTCACAGCTACGAAATCAAAGGCCCGGTAGCGGATGGCTCCAAGTCCGCACTCGATGTATTGTGTGCGTGAAAGTTCCCGCAGGATCGCTCGTTCGAATCATGCCTGGGCCATGCATCCGTTCTGCTGTGTTTTTTTTGTGACACGATTGGCGGGTAAGTTATTTCCATTTAAATGTGCATGTATATTTATGTCGGTAGCGCCATATTGAGGAGGATATCATATCTGCCTACAGGAAGCGCTCATCCAATTCGAGCTCAGCACATATCGCTGTTTTCCTCATTTTTTTTGCGCGTTCATGTCGACCCTCTCCCAATCCATCGTGCTGGACCATGTAAAAAGGAAGCAAATCCTGGAAGCCGCGGCTGGTGGCTGCTGTCCCTTATCTCCAGTCAAGTGCCTGCACTCGATATGTTGGTAAAATGTGGGTATGGAAATTTCCGCAGGATGACTCGTTCAACTCGAGCCTGGGCGATGCATCCGTTCTGCTGTGTTTTTTTTGACATTCACGAGGGAGTTATTTCCATCGGAATGCGCATATGTATATATTTACATTCCCAGGTACTAGAAAGACGGCTAGGTCGTCCGCAACCTCGCGCTTAGTTCATCCATAGGGGCCTGGGCGTCCACTCGGTCGACTCCAGCCCTGTTTTGCTACGTTTTCTATTTCATTTCACGAGCTTCACTCATGAATCATGACTCGAACTTGAATGCTGATATATTTGGGTTCGCAGGCCCCAGACAGAAGGCCTGGTAGCGGATGGTTCCGCACCCGCACTGAATGGAGCAGGATACGCGATGTTCTGCGGAGCACTCGTTCGATTCGAGCCCGAGCCATGGGTCGACGCATTTCATTTCCGTTATTTTTAGATATCGCGCTGATTTGATCTCTTCACATTACTCACCGGAATCCAACTTGAAGTAAGCTCACTTGGCATACAGGTATTTGTGTGTTTTCCTCGCTACACCTCACATGAGCACATGGATACCAGGGAAATCCAAACACGGAGATCATCTCGTGTTGCACGCCTCGATCACTCTTTTCTGCATATTGTGAGATGGACGGGGATCATTTTTCGCTAGGGAGTTCCGTGAACAGCCTTGAGGGTAAAAATCCCGAGACCTTCTAGATCGACCGATCGAAGTCGCAAGGCGATGCTCACTCAGGGGGCTTCCGCCACCCGCGCGGATAGGAGAGATTCCGCCCATCCCCCCACAGCCCGAACGAAGGTGAGACATTAGCCCCCTGCCGTGTATAAAAAGCTGACCATTTTCGGCGAACTCCAACAAACCCACACCACTTCAAACTTGCTCAGTTCAAGTTACCAAATCAGCAATTATCTTGTCGAGGTAGGAGCCATTTTATCGATTTACTCTCGTCATGAGCTTACCTTTCTCCTAGGATGTCGCCTTCCCTCTCCACTGCATTCCCTCCCTCGCCGTGGCCGAAAGGAGAGCTCTCCTCCGAGCTCACATCCACGGGCTCGCGCCCACCTCCGACGCCGACGACCGCTGCCTCGTTTCGAGCTTCGCGCCGTCGGGCAAGCTTAACCTCACACATAAACTCCTCAATGAGAACATCATGCGCCGCACCTTCCACCTCATCCCCGCAGCCACGCCCGATACACATGACGAGCGCATCCGCAACACTTTCCGGCGGAAGAGCTACCCCGTTTACCCCATCCAATTCGAGAATGATCATGCAGGAGAGCCACTATGGTAATCGGTAGGTCTCCAGCATTTCCTTGCGGAGGATTCGGCGCTCATGAATTGCAGATAACATTGTGTACCGAGCACGCCCCGGTCATATATTGTATCATATCACTTCGAAACTGTGACAGCTGTACCTTAAGTATATATTGTATTTGTTGGAATTAGATTTCAATCCTCGTTGTGAGCGCGATGAATGTGATGATTCTTCTTAGACGAAGCTTCCCTTCGTAATCTTGGGATTCATTGGGCTATCGCCTATTTTACGCCACCGCCAACGAATTCAAAAACGAGCTGTTCCATGTTTGAAGCCTACAATCGGTTGATTCGGCGGGTGACGTTGGTCGATATCCCATCAGACGTGAGCCTCACCTGACTGAGTTTCCTGGTACTAATTCATTCCAACACCAAGAAGTCCTGCAGCATTTGGGAGAGAACATCCGTGACTCAAGGAGCATACTTGCTGGTGAATTTAGCATTTTGCTTCCAATTCTATCTCAAAAGACGATTCAACGGAGCAATTCCAGCTTTTCCCCCTCTCTTTCTTTTGCTGCCAGCTTCTCAAATTAATGACATCAGCATGCAATCAACTGGCTTGCGGTCTCGTACTCGAAGCTAGTTTAAAATGCAGCAGATGTGAGGCTTGAGTAAGCACCAACCATGAGCCCCTTCATGAGCTTTTGGATCCATGGTCATCTGGCCACAAAGTGCAGCGAGATCGAATACTATTTGCGACCCTCTCGGCCACTGAGTGATGAGGCCGCCTGGCCAGACGCTTACATAATTTCTTCCAGTTGAATAACATTTGTGAAGGAATCTCCCGCACCTATTATGCTAAAACATACCGCCAGAAGTCATCATTTATTCGACGCGATGAATCCAAAGAAGCACCAGTTGCTCGGTGATTGGATGAGAAAATGAGATTTTGGCGCACCCGATTCTCCATATGAAGTCACGTTGAGTTGCGACATGCCGCAGACGCTGTTGTCTGTGTAGTTCTATATAGTTTCTAGAAAGGTAGGTGGTGCCTGGTACGAACACATGCTACGATAGACTCATCGCGCACGCGGCTGGGGCTCCGAGTCGTCAACAGTTATATTTTCCTGGTTGCCCGAATATGTTGGGACGAGATCATATTTGATTGGTGTAGGTATCACATCATAAACTTGAGGCACATCGCACCAGCTGCGACCATATCCATTCGATACTGCCGATTCTTCGCCGCAATATTTAAGCCATCGCTGGGTCACAAAAAATAAAATGTTGAACTCACGATAAAATGAGCTGCTTTGCGGCAACTGAGTCGAGTCCTGATTATTTTACGAGTAAATATTGTGCTGAGCGGGCGCTATTTGAGCTCGGCTTGCGTGTACATCATAGTCCGAGGTGCTGTTGCTATTGCTCCGATTGATGGTGTTCATGGCGGTGCCTACGATTGGTGATGGCCGGGGCTACTACCCGTGCCCGCGACGGGCACGGCAGATGTGGGGCTGTCGAGGTTCGTTCCCATTTCTTGCTATACCTCGCTGTTGAAAGTTAGTGAATGCAAGCGTATCAAAGTTGTGCACTTACATAGTCCATGTAGTTCAACACACCCAGAAATCTTGCTGTATGATCATAAGTGCCTCGCAAAACCCGAATCAGTGAAGGTTGCCAGGAAATCCCCAGTGAAGTACGATTCAAACTCCGCCATCGGTTTGCGGCAAATGTCGATCTCAACCCACTCGATTTCTGAGGGCTAGGAAGGCTAGAACACAGAAGGCAGAGCGTCGGAGGAACAGAGTGCGAGTGAAAAGCGCGTATGCCCTGGAGGCTCAAAAGCGAATGATCCGGAAGAAGAAGCAAATTGAAAGGAAGGGTTGCGGTTGGCACATGTGTGCCGGCTCCCGGTTCGCACTTCCACACCTCCTTCTCTCTCTCGTAGTACATCATGCATCCTGACCCGTCCTTTGTCTTCCTCCAAGGCCGCAAGTGCTTTGCCGCTCGCTCACCGGTGTAACGCGGTTTTCCCTCTGCTGCTGCTGCTGCATGATCTCTTATTTTGCGGCCGCACTTGTCCTCTTCTATTCAGGCAAAGTTTCGCTGCCAGTGTATCCTAACTTAATCGAGTTCACAGGGATAGGAAGAAGACCCGGTGGCGGTTGGACCGCAGCTGCATCACATCGCATTCGGCCTTGACCAATCAATGCAGGCTCCACTCGTTCGATTCGAGCCCGGGCCATGGAATTCTTGAACCGAATCTGTTTTGACACCATTCACGAGTGATTTATTTCCGTT